GACCGGTAATAAGGACTCGCTGAAAAGTTTTTTTTCTGCACAATTAGTAGCTGATAAAGCATTACGGCGGTGTGCTCTCATTGGTGATTACGGACTCATCAAAGTTAAAAGAAACAGTGTTTCGCCCCAGAAAATTGATGTTGTGTATTTGTGTTTATGGTTTATTACAACATATCAAACGAGTGACTCTATTCACATTGAAACCATGAATTATTTCTGAATTCGATTTTATACTTCTTTGTGTAAGTGTTCGATTCGTTGTCATTTCTTAAAAAGAAACGACTATTGCTCAACATTCAGATACTTTGCGTTACTATGATGTGGGTGTGGGTGTGGGTGCCTTTGTTTCAATATCAACATAACCACACCCACAGCCACACCCCACCCACACCCTTGAGGGTACCCTGAAGAGGTACTCTTGAGGGTACCCTGAAGAGGTACTCTTGAGGGTACCCGGAAGAGGTACCCTTGAGGGGCACCATTGAGGGATACCCTTGGGGATACTATGAAGAGGTACTCTTGAGGGTACCCGGAAGAGGTTCCCTCGAGGCACTGTCGAATACTTGAAAACTTCAATAGTTGAATACTTGAATAGTTGAAACTTCAAGTATTCAACTATCAGTTCAACTATTCAATTATTGAATACTTGAAGTTTCAACTATTCAACTATTGAAGTTTTCAAGTATTCGACAGTGCCTCGAGGGTACCTCTCAAGGGTACCTCTTCAGGGTACCCCCAATGGTATCTGTTCTGGGCACCCTCAAGGGTACCTCTTCCGAGTACCTCTTCTGGGTATCCCTCAATGGTACCTGTCGAGAGTGCCTCTTAAGGGTACCCTCAAGAAAGACTTCACTGTGTACACAGAGACGAGTATGGGTCGCGGCTCTTCGGGGGCGCGAAGCGCCCCCACGCCGCGACGCTGAAATAAAAGGTGTGCCAGGTGAAGACAAGTACTTCCCCACTGAATATTCGCAGAACACGTGACAAGTGAAAATTTGAATAGTTGAATAGTTGAATTCAAGTTTCAAGTTTGACATATATGAAATTAAGAGAAGAGTCAACTCGATTGTCGGAGGGACGACGTTTCTTCAATCTTTGCGTTGAATAAAATACTGAGTATATGCATTCAGTAGAAAAGGTTATTTCGACCAAATACTTTTTACTTCATTGATACTCCAGAGCAGAATAAGAAGAGAAAATAATAGTCAAAACCAAACGCACTGATGTTCTATCATAGTGGCAACAAAGATAAATACTCAATTTGACAACATGTTTTCAATAGGATGAATTCAATCCATTGTAAACAAGAATATTTTATGTCTGCAGAAAATCATGAAAGATGGTTTTTTCGATTAAATATCAGTCATAGGATAAAATCAATAGGTATTTAGTGTCTATTTGTCGCTTTTATTTTAAATAAATCTTTCGAAATGGAACGAACTATGACGATATATTCCTCGTATTTCTAATGAAACTACATCAACTGTCATTTTGTAAAGTCCAATGTTTATTGTTTTGTTATTATATTTTGCAAACTTTCGAACAATCTTGTCGTAGCATGCTGCGCTATAATACAATTATGAAATATAATATGATAAGAGGAAAATCAATATATTTAATTATCTTTTGATGACGTGACAACAGCCAAGTGCTATAACGTTTGGTGTTTTTTTTTCATCTTGCCGTTATTTTTTCTACATAATTGCATCGATGCTTGGATGTAGACATATATCAAAGGGGACAAATTAAATGTTCAGTATTTTTTGGTAAATGTTCAGTAAAATTTGTTCAGTATTATATACAAATTTTCAGTAAAGAAATCAAACTATCAGTATAAAATTTACTGTTCGATAACTATTACGTTTGCTCAGTTAACTAATTGTTTGCTCAGTATTAAAATTAAAGTTTCAGTAATTAATTCAGTTTGCTGATTCAAAAATTCATTTACTCAGTAACAAGTAGTATTTTTATCAGTAATCATTTATTTTTTCGATGAAAATATTTTGATGTAAATAGAAGAACGTTTGTCTACATTGACTGATGATGACATCATCAGTTAAAAGATACTATGTTACATAGTTTCCCTCGATAATCGTATACATACGGTGTCCTACTTATTGATGTCATCTTTTCTTGACCTACTTTTTATATTTTATTATAGTTGTTCGATATTTTACCGTTATATAAGAAGATGAATATATTGTATTCTCTCCTTGTTCTCAATTTAACAAAGGAGAAGAAGATTCTCGACGTCGTTACCTTGTTTGCTGTTTTGCCTATCCCTATATAAGTAGCTCGTTTTTTTTAAAAGTTGAGGGTGTGGGTGTGAGGAGTGAGTTTTCTCTCTTCACCCACACCGAAGTCTACACCCCACACCCACACCAATAGCGCATCGAGATCCACATCCACACCCTCTACTGGATTGAAAATCGTCGGAGACGACTACTTCCTTGATCGACGACATAGAGATTGCCATGGCGATCGAAGGACATACCACTGAGATCGATAACCTGATTTGCTCCTTGTCCTGGATTATTTCCATCCACAATGACAGTGCTCAATGTTTTTCCTTTGAGCCAACGCATCACTTGATGATTCACGAAGTCTGCCACATAGAGGGTGCCCCGCGTATCAACGAAGAGTCCATAAGAAGCCACCAATTGTGTCAGAGCAATTCCTTGGCCTTGGCCTCCAACGACGACAACTCCTTCTGTTGCACCTTTATTTCATTTCATTACACGATTTTTTCCTGTGTCTGGCACGTAGACAGTCTGTTGTCGATCGTTAAAGATATATTGCAGATTGGCGAAATGATTCAGACCAGCACCTTTTCCATGACCACCAGCTACGAGAGTTCCATTCTTGTCTCCCATTCGGTACTGTCGAACTTCATGTTTTTCGTTGTCGGAGAGGTAGAGATTTCTCTGATCATCCATGGCCAATCCAAACCAGTCTATGCTGTCAATGAGGATTTCTCCTTGAGTGGTACCATTTTGACGAGACCATCGTAAGACTCGTCCGTTATCCGAATCGCAGATAATGAGCCTATTAGTCTCTTTCTCTATCAACACATCGGTTGGTCAATTTAATTGATCCGATTGATTTCCTTTGCGCTGATCACTAGCTACTACTTCTCCCATTGTATCGCCCATCTTCCATTGGACGATACTGTGATTGTTGCAATCAGCGATGAATATCGTTTGATCATCATCAACGAAGACTCCGTGAGGTTTGTTGAGTTCATTAGTGACACTGCCTGCTTCCTGACCACCAGCAACAGTCGCACCATTCTTTGCCCATTCTGCATCCGGTGGAAAATTAGGAATGACTCGAAATGAACAAAAAAATAAAAATAAATTCACGTTCTTTCTGTATCTTTGAAAATGGTTCTCATAGAATTACGGAGATTTTCATCTCACCAGCTCTTCTGTTTACGTGGAACCATGTAAATTCTCGATTTCGTGAAGTTTTTGTTTTGTTGGAAAGAGACATAGTCTCTGAAGTACTACAAAATCATGAAAAGAGGTGTGGGTGTGCGTATAATTGTGGATGTGGATGTTGCATTCATGCACAATAGATCACAGTGACAATCACACCCACCCCACCCACACGCCCTCACCCACTCCCACACCCGCACCCACGTCCCACACACACCCACACCCACACCCCACACACCCACACCCACACACCCACACCTACGTCCCACACACCCACCCACACCCACACCCACCCTTCGCACAGGCAAGCTGAGACTTTTACCAAAATAAGATATCATCAAGATCTTTCTGCAAAAAAAGTTTCAAGACTCCATCATGCACTAGTCGCCAGATATAGGATCACAAAACTGGCTTAAATTAGCATTTTGACCTCTCCAAAGAATATTTGTAGGAAATCAACGGTACAAGCAATTCGCTTGAAATTTTTTTCTGGTGATAGCATCATTAGCTATGAGTGATGATACAAAGTTTCAGCTCTATCTGTTGAGCTGTTCTCGAGATACAGCCGTAACAATGGACGGTTTTCTCATGATCGTGGATTTTGGGGCTTTTCGTAAAAGCTCAATAGAATATCAGTGGATCAATATTTTTCGATGCGGTTTTCGGCAAACATCATCAAACACTTTCCTCTACCAGATGTGTAAAAATGGACGAAATCGGAGATGGTCGATTGAGCACCCTTCTGTGATTTCGGTCGTGGCTTACATGCAACGGCTCTTAAGAAAATAAAGAATTAAGAAAAGAATATTAAAAAAAACTGAATAGAAATACTTTAGTTATTCTTTTTGTATCTTGAGTAAAATCAAGCACTAGGTATTGAGAATAAAATTTGCTGGAATAAAAACCCGCAAGAAACAGAAACACAATTTATGTTATAATTTGTTGATTTTGAGCCTCTATCTTGTCGACAGAAGTCCTCACTAATTCTGTTCTATATTTCTTCTGTAATCTAGGAAATAATCGATCCTAAATATTAAGTTTAGGAAACAAAGAAGTTCTTTCAAAGACAAGTTTTATGCTTTCTAGAATATAGATAAACGTCTATAACCATTAACTGAATGCTTAAAAGATGCAATTCTACATGCATTATCTTATCGGCATGATAATATCCACCATAAATTCGTTCCAGTCAAAAAGTATTTATATGTCCTCATGGTACTTCACTTCGAGCATTAATTAAATATCTTGATAAAGTACGGTGAAGAATAAATATTTTTCCGAATTGAAAAAAAAGGAAAACTATAATTTTATCTAGAGAAATAAAAGAGCTGTTGTATAATATGGCTCCTTCTATAATTAAAGCATTCATTTTTTGTTTCATATTTTAATCTGATAAACGTTGCACTAACACCTTTTTCTCTCCAACACCTCAATTTTCTTTTTGTTTTTCAATCTCAAAAACATATTTCATCTTATATCATACAAAGACAGTTGAGTTTGAGATATTATTCCAAATACAATTGATTACTTCTTACAATAGAACTTTTCTTTTAAAATTGTGCGTCACTTTTTTAAAGATTTATAATTAAGAGAGAGATAAAGACCATTTGCCAAACATGTTTTATTATCAAGTAGAAATTGTTCAATATAATCATAATGAGTATCATATAAAATAAGGTTGGTAAGATAAGGATATTCAACAATCGATAGATGTTTGATGTCTTCCTTGGATTTTCTATATTGTTTATTATATTGTGCTTTCTTATTATATAGAGTTAATTTTTCGATAAATGGAAATGATTTTTGAATTCGAATAAAAAATTCATGTTGAAAAAGATGTTCATCATATAATGATACTTGACGAACACATTTAAATAATCCCCAAGGAAAATTATTTCTTATATAATAATAATGTCTCTGTGTATATGGATATGAATAGATATGACATTCATCGCATTGCTTCTCTGGAAAACAATTAACACAAGAAATAATTTTATCATAATTAAAATCTTTAAATGAATATTGAATATCTTCATTTGATAGTAAATTAATTTTATTGTTGAGATGAATAAATGAACAAATGTTAAATAAAAATTTGTTTAATTGTGGCATATGATTGGCAATGTCCTTCAAATGGTTTCTATCAATAAATGTTTTTCTGCTCGAGACTGGAAAATACAACATGAGTTTTTCTAAATTTGACATTCGATGTAAAAGTGGTATGATTATTTCATCGTACAAATCTAATTTCTCAACAGAAGACAATGAAAAACATCTTAAATTTGATAGTTTTTCCTAGAAAAACACATATTGATCAATTTCAATTTCTTGCGAATAAACAATTTATAAAAATATACTTTATTATTGATTTTTAAGGATTGTTGACGAGAATACGCTGATTCTGTATGAACATATAATGTAAGGAGTTGATTAAATCGACCATCAAGTAAATGAAGACAATCGATAATAGACGATAGTTTGACATGTAATGTTAGCAAAGTCGAAGAGAAAATGGTTGGAGATGACCAATTGAATGATATATGTTGACCACAAACAAAAGATGGATTAAAATTTAAATATTTTTAAATTGGTGAAATTTTTCAAGATATTTCTAAATATAATTGTATTCATATTTGATGCGTAACAATTTTTGTCAATAATTTCAATGAGAAATGATAAAATTTGATTTTTGAATAGATCAGTAAAAGTAATCTCATCTGAACATAAAGACAAAACGTGTTGAGAGAATAAATAATTTTTAATATGATTCTATTTGAAATAAAAATATCGTTATCAGTAAAGAGAGATAAAGCAGTTTTCTTTTTTATATTATATATACCAAGTCCATTGCGATTAGGATAATTTGTAGAAAGAAGAATATGTTTCATAGATAATGATTCAAGAGTAAGCCATTTTATTTTATGATCAATCGAAGGTAAGATTTCCGAACAAAATCGATCTAGTAGTGGATCAGGTAATAAATAGGTAGAATCATCCGACAAATATTTTAATAAAGTTAAATTACTAGTAAAAATTGAATCATGTACTATTTTATTTAATCGCTTATTGACATTGAATAAAGAGGAAAGTATTTCGACATTGTTCAACTTTTTGAAAATAATCAAAAGAATTTCATCGGGTAAATCATTCAATTGAACACATGAATATCTCATCTTTATTTTCACCTATATTTATTTATCTAAACTTATAAATGTCAATCATTCTATATTTATAGACGAATCGCTCATTCTATTTGACGGGTATCGTCAATGAAAACAATCATGTATTTTTATATCGTTCAATGCTCTAAATAGATAATCAGTCAATAAATGAATAAATCAATGAACGAATGACATGACATTATTTAAGGCGATTGACTGTACGAAGTGTAGAAGCCGACTTATTGCTTTTGGATAGCTTAGTTCCTATGGAAAATTCTTCTTCTTCTTCTTCTTCTTCTTCTTCTTCTTCTTCTTCTTCTTCTTCTTCTTCTTCTTCTGCTATACAGATGAGTCATGATTTAAGTCAGCTGCTCGTTCTCAGCACTTGAGCATGATTTCGAAACGAGGAAAAGCTTGTTTTATAGTAAAATTAATGCTTTTTCAAGAATAATTATCTTTAAATTCTCTATTAAAATACTTTATAAAGAATTTATATTAGACTTTGGATACGACGATAAAACCGCCAGATTGACTCGAACAACACTATGTTTTATTCCTACAATAGTGAAGAAAACCTTTTTTGATTCATTTTTATACCTAAATTTCATATACCTTGAAATTTAAATAACTTGCTCTAGGCATGACAATGGCCACTCATATTTTAAATTGATTAGTCTCTCGGTGAGAGTGATCATGTGACCTGAACATGGTCAGTCAATTCAACTGACAGTACACATTCCTCCCATTGTTAGTGGATTTTCAGCATTTCGAGAACGTCTTGAATTTTGTTGTTGTCGATTATTAAATAAAAGTTCAAAATATGATTTATTTTCGGTTTCAAAACATGATCATGAAGAAGAACAAGATAAATCATCTTATATAAATCAAGCATTACAAGGAGAAAAAGAAGCAAGAAAAGATAAATTAGATAAAATAGCAAAAACTTTGCCTGGTCTCACCTCAAATATAAGACCAACAATAAAAGGAACATTAACACCAACACAAACTCGAACACGTTCAATAACAACAATTACACAAAGCACACTACGTTCACGTATTACTTTAGCTCAAACACGACCTACAATAAATACAATTATTGCAAAAACAGCAACATCAATTATTAATAAGCCATCACCATCATCTCAAAATACAAAAAATAATAAAAAAGATTCAGATGAAACAAGTAATAAATGTTTTTTTATTTATAGAATTCGTTCAACTTTTTCAATGAAAAAAAAAATTTTTTTCTTTATTCTTTTAACTGACTGAAGTGAAGAAGAAAGTTCACCTGATGACGATGGAGATGATAAATCATCTGATTCTGATCGTGTTCCTTCTGCTAATCATATAAAGAATCGATAATAATTATTTTTTTTGCAATTTTAATTGATCAAAATAAATATAATGAAGATTTATTTTTTTTATAATAATTGAGGTTAAGAAAACAAAAAAAGAGAATTAAATTTATTGAAGAAGATTTTTAAATGTATTTAAATCAACATTCATATTTCCTTGATCATTAACAAGAATAGATAAAATCCAATAAGTTTTATTAAGTAATTGAAGTTGAGTATATAATATATAACAGCACATGCTTTTAAATCATCAGAATTAAACATTGAACAAGTCATTCGAAGTGAACTTGTACTTGATTTATAAGGCATTAATTCAATAATTGTTATATTTGATTGAGCAAAATTCATATTTGATAAAGCTCCACTATGAACACCAATTATATATCGAGCATTATAAAATAATTCAATACGATATTTAATATGATTTGAATCTTTTCAATGATTATATTGAATATAATTTAAAGAATATTCTTTTAATAAATCAATAAATAGTTGTTCATTGAATATAAGTCGAGCTCCATTCATTGTATTTTTTGATGTACGTTGAATATAAATAAAAATTTTTCAATTTATATTATTTAATGATTCAGATATTTTTGATATAGACAAATATATTTCACGTGCATTATGCCATAAACGAGGATTAATACGAGGTGTATGACAAGGATTGATTAATAAACGAGCATCAACTTTCATATTTTCTGTATAATGAATTATTCGAGAAGATTCTTCAACTCTTAAATAAATCAAACTGATTTTTTCTTTATTATAAAAATAAAATACAAATGAAGCATTGATCAAATTTCTTTGACAGATCGATCAAATCGAGCACATCTTATTATAAGTATTTTAGCATATGGATATTTATCTAAATAAGGTCTTGAATGAGATAATTTTGGTCCTATTCCATCAATAGGATATAGGTATGTGAGTGAGGCTACAGAGGATGTTTACATGCACATCTACACCCTAAAATCATCGACAAAAAATGCAAAGAAAGAAGAAATTCGTATATCTGACTATGTCATGAATATATATTTGTTCATAGTTCTTTCAATATTTCATGTTCAAATATGAAACAAATTTTTTTTTTATTTTTTTGATACTGTTCGTCGTCGCGTACAATTTATATATTTTTCTTGTTCTCCATTATAGCTGGTCAAAACGTTGCTATTATTGCCCAAGTGAACGATAGGATCCCGAATGTTGTTGATATCAGAGCTATCCGATCCGATCTCGTCCAGTTGGGAATTGCCTGTATTTGATGAACTGTCTAGGAGAATGAAACATTACTTATCAATAATGAGCGATGCAAAAGTCTTTGCACAAATGTCAAACTCTGTTAGACCATATTGCCAACTTTTAAACCAATCAAATTTTTTTTTTGTCGGAAAGAGCAATGTCTGAGCTACAAATTTTGTGCCAGACATATTTTTCCAGAACGAATCTAAGAAGGAGGAAAAGACAAAAAACCAAACACCTCTAAATAAGTGCTTGCAACATTTTTGCAACTTGAAATGTTTCTATATCTCAATTATTTTGAGCTACATGAGTCGAGTTCTAACAAAAAAAAATACGCCAGATGTACTCCATTAAAACCTTTATCGATATCAGCTTTAGTAAAATTTTTTAGATCCGTTCTTGACTTTTTAATCAAAATAATTTGGAAACAGAAATTTTTGTGAAATAGTGTCTTTTGCAAGAACTATCACTTCGGAAGGACATCGACCACAATCTCCAGAAACTACGGATGAACTCAATTCTTTGTGCGTTATTTGTTCGAAATGTGTAAGATTACAGACACTTAGCAGAAAAAAACAATTCAAAAAGTATTTTTTTATTGTTGCAAAACGGTCAGGTAATAGGAACGACCAAATTATACAGTCTTTTTCAGAAAAAGCTATATTTTGGTATGAAGATCAACAGTAAATTTAACTTCCAATACACCAATGGAAAGAGTGCTCTTTATGCTACAAAAATCATCATTAAATGTTTTCTTTCATTTCACTTCTGATATAAAAAAATTAACAGAAAATAAAAAGTAATGTTGCGCGATGGTGAAGTGGCAAGAACTTATTTAAAGGTGTTTGGCTTTTGGCTTTTCCTCCTTCTTAGATTCGTTCTGGAAAAATATGTCTGGCACAAAATTTGTAGTTCAGACATTGCTCTTTCCAACAAAAAAAAATTTGATTGGTTTAACAGTTGGCAATATGGTCTAACAGAGTTTGACATTGGTGCAAAGACTTTTGCATTGCTCATTATTTAATGTACAAAAATAATAAGAGAAATAAAATTTTTCGAAAAACAAGTTTGTCTACGCAAACGACCAAATGATCATACGTGGAACAAAATAGTATTCAATTGAAGTTATTGGGTACTTTGGAATTGTATTAAATAAATGACGGTTGTTCTCTCCAACTCAATTATACCGGGTGGACCATAAGTCAGGTAACATAAAGAGTGTTCTGTAATAGCTGATGATCATTTGTTAATAATATTTTTCATACTTTTTATTGATGTAGAGAGCTGAAAGTTTTGTCACATATATACATAATCAAGACCTTTAATCTTTGAAAGTTTCACCTGTTTACATCAATAAAAAGTATGAAAAATATCATTAATAATTGATCATCAGCTATTATGGAACACCTTTCATGTTACCAGACTTATGACTCACCCGGTATATGATAGCGAAAACATTCAAATGATGATTTTGCTTTTTTTCTCAAACTATGCTTCAGGACAATCAGCAAATAAATACTACCTGATAAGCAATTCAAGATATAATGACCATCTTCAATTGGTATATCATCATATTGAGTCAAATATATTCGTTCACCACGTCTTAAATGTCTAGATAAAATACAAACAAATAAGCTAATGAAATTAATTTATTGTAAAAATTCCACTGTTTAAAAAATCAATAACATAGCTTACGCTGATCTTATTCCTTGCTTGTTCAAAAGAAATAAACCTTCAGCAGTTGGATTTATATCTTTGAGATGTTCTAATAAAACATACGGCATATAATAGTAAAAATAAAATTCATAATATAATGGTATTTCAACATATGTTTGAGTATTCTGATCGGTATATATTTTAATACAATGCATTTTTATCTATAAATCGACAATAAAAGAACTAATAATATTTAAATGAGAGTTTTTATCTAGAACGAATAATCGATCAGAAAGTCAAAGTACTTATCATAAATATACTAATTATTATAGTGTTCATGTAATCTATATACATAAGATCATTTTTGTTTTATTTTCAATTCTTTTTTTATGAACTTAAAAATTAAGAAACCAATAAAAAAAAAAAGATTTTACATTTAAACCTTTGAGTTTAAGTTTGAGCACCATCAGATAATTTTCTTCATATCAAGATAAGGAAAACTATTACTAAAAAATTCTATATTACGAGTGAACATTTGGCTCACCTTGCATACACCTCCTTTGTTTGGTCCCATGATGCGTACATGATTATTTCTACGATCATTCTCATTTCATTCCTCGTTGTAGATGTCGATAGATATTAGGCATTACATATTTGTGAACAAACGAAAATGACTCTGGCGGATTCGAAGCCATTCAACAGTTTTCCATAGTCAGAATCTAATCAAATTTCAACTGTTGGAGACTACTATTATCCATTAACTTCTGACGATTTTCGACGTCCGATTTGGTAAGATTGCGATAAAACGATCCGACAATATCAGATGGTATGGAAGTATATACAAATACTTAATTTCAATTCTTTTTTTTATTATTTTTATTTTATTGTATTTTCATTCAAGCATTTTTTTTATCTTATTTTGTTTTAATTTTATTTAATTTCTATTCTTCTTTTTTTATTATATTGTGACTTAATCATTTAATTTATATTATTTTATTTTTCTCGTATTTTACGTTAATTTTTTGTATTTAATTTAACTGTGTTTCAGATTATATTACAACCAGAGGCAGCGGAGCCATTAGGCTTAGGAAGGCTCAAGCGTTCCGTAAAAAATGAAAGGGGAGGCTCAGTATTTGAGAAAATTTTAGGATCTCATTCTGAATTAAACTGGGTGTCCCAAAATAATATCAACAGAAGTTTATTTTGTATGTATCTTTGCATGCACAATTGCTAAAATCATGAGTTTTTGTTAAAATGCGTTGTCAACGCTCTCTACAATAACTCCATCAAAAAATCCCATTGACTTCCGTTGATGGATTTTTAGAAAACTGAAAGAAAAGATGTATAAAGCGTTTCTACTTTCCATTATATAAAAAATAACAAACTTATTGTAAATAATATATATTTTTCATTTGTTTTCACACAGATAATGATAACGACTTGAGTTGTTTTTAAAAATGTGTCATTAAATTGTCCATAATATTTAGAGAAAAACATTTTCTTAGCTTATTGTAATCAATTGTGAGATGGTAAAAAGTAAAGATGTACGCGATACTGCAATTTTTCACTATAACAGTAGACTAAAAGCATCAGAATGGCAAGCTGATTATCGAAAGCAAGGTTTTTTGTACAAAAACGCATTACTAAATACAGTGATATCATCAACGTGATCTGTTTCGTGTTCGAAGTTGTCTTAAAGAATCAAAAGTGAACAGTTAGGCGATCAGTTGTTTAAATAGAGAAGCTAATTCAACTCAAAATACTGAAAAATTAGAGTCGTGTACATGTTTGCTTTTAGTCCTTATAAAAATGATTAGAACAAGTAAAGAAAACATTGTTTTTTTGAAAAAATTCAAGTTCTATGATTTGTTTGAGTGAAAATAAATGAGAAATAAATATATTTAAACTCTTTTTATTTTTTCTAATACGGGAGAAAGTAGCAACATTTTATACATCTTTTCTTTCAGTTTTCTAAAACCTCATCAGAATAAATCAACAGGACTTTGTGATGTAGTTGCTCTAGAGAATTCAGCAATAGATGCTAGAATTCATTTTTCGGAATTTTTCTATAAATCGCGGTCTTTATTTTATCGTCAAATGAAAATAATTAACGCAAAGACGACTGTCTGTCTGAGGGTGATGGGAGAGAAGGTTTCGGACTAGCACTAGCTGAAAGTCATGTCTTACTCTTCCGAATCATGAATTTTTTTTTGGTGTAGTTAAATTTTGTCCTATGCTATCATATAGATAAATTCCATTCTCATCAATTTTATTCACTTAGGATTCGGCCTGCTTTTGTTCATCAAATGAAACAGACTATTGTAACGATCTGAACACTCAATATTGACACATTTTCACAAGTATTATGGATTTTATTGATTTTCTCTTGTAGAATTTTCAAAGATCTTTCAGATTGTTTTCTATTTACCATTATACTCATTTAATAAATATATCTTTAATACTATATGTCGATGACGTTTTTATGCGAAATTCAGCTAGCATTTCTCCTTTTACTATAATAGATGGGTCAAATTTGGACATTAACAAAACAATTTCTACTCTAATATCTATAAAGACAAATATTTATCGGAAATAATACCGAAATAAATTTGAAATAAAATAATATAGTTAAATTAAACAAAATGATCTAGATTACTTAAACTGTTTAAAAAATAAATAAGTTAACTGTTTCTGATGAGTTTAGTGATATTCTCGAAATTTCCTATGTTTTTTTTCCTAATATTGATATAAGATTATTGTACATGAAAATTTCTAAAAATAAATCTTTGAATTTTACTATAGATTCTTAGATGTTTCTCTTTTGAACAATATCATTTTAGTTAGATAATAAAAATATAAATCATTAAAAAACTAATCGAATCTGAAGTCCTTGTGAATGTAATAATAACTAATTATTTTTATGTTAACAATTTTGTTTAAATATATTCGAATTTGAAATAAAAGAGACTAACAATATTTAATTTAACCTATTCAATCGATTAAATAACTTTTCTATTGAAGATCAACAGAGAATATAAAAATATTTAAATGAAAATTATTGATTATCTTTGTATAAAGGTCAAACATTTAGAAAAATAATAATTAAATCTTAATAATAGGTGACAGATGAGATTGATCATATAATAAATTATTTAAACGAATCATTTATTCATTAGATTTTTAATTGGAAAATATTTGATAAATAATAATTATTATTTCTTCTTCTTCTTTCTTTATAAAATTAAAATTTCATAGATATTTTTCTTGATTTATTGTTTATCATATATAATATGAGAATAAATTCATTATAAAATTGATTAATTCTAACATTTTAATTCAATATCGAAATTATTTTATTAAAAAACAATAAGACAATAACGATTTTGATTATCTATTAAAAATCTTTATTTATTTAATATAAAATGATGATATTCAAAAATAAAATAATAAAAATTAAAAAAAGAATTTTTATTATATTTATCATTATATTATAACTTTGTTTTTGATGATTTTAATCTATATTGAAATAAATTTTGTTATTATTCATCTTATGTTTCGTATAACAGTTGATAAGACAATTCAAATAAATCGAATTAAATTATTTATTATTTATCTTTTTCAATATGATTTAAATATTAAAGAATCAATTATTGTTTTATTTAAATTAATATCAATTGAATAAATAAATACAAATACTAGAAGAAACAAAAAACGTTGATTATGGAAATTAATCAGACATTTTTTCTTTTATCTATGCAAGAAAACGATTTCTTTTTTAAAAACAAAGTAAACGAACAAGTCTGATGAATATTTTGCTTTTTTTTTAAAGAAAATAGAATGAATAGAATAAAAGCAATTTATATATTTATATGGTTTTTTTTTTTGTACGATAGACGATCGGTTCGATAGTTTTCTCTCATTC